CTTTTATATATTAAAAAAAGGAAAGTACGCTAGCCTTGTCACAGATCCTGAACTTGCCCAATTCTTTTAGGCAATGAACAATGTTGACATTACCTATGACACCTACCTTTTTAAATAGTTACTGTTATTTTAAGGAATGGATATCATTTATTGGATATAATTCGAATTATGAAAAAGCATTCTTCCGGTAATGGTAATTCCCCCCCCCCCGCAAATGTCTGCGGTAGTTAAATGTTAAACATAATTCTTGGGTTTGGGTGGGGAAGGGACACTTGTCACTTGCAGATGCTCTTCCGAATAAAACAATAATCCTTTAAGATCTGTCAGTCAGAGCCTTCTTCTTTTGTTAATTATGTACTTTATTCTTAAACTAAAATGACAGGGGATTGAACCTAGGGTGCAATAGACAAAGTACAAAACATTCTACCCAGCTAGTTGATAAGGTGAAGTGTTGCAATACTGCTAGAACTGCGAGGGAAGCAGCCGCCGCCATATTTTCTTTTTTGTGAATTGTTCTAATTTGCATACCACAGTTTTCATTCATAAAAAAATAATTAAACCTTCACCACGTTTGCCATTGCTGGTCCTTCTTGGCAGGGAGTGGACTTTTTGTAGAAGAGTAGAAAAAGATGATTAATCAGTACAAGAGTCAGGAATCTCTGGTTTTTTGTGTTGAAAAATGCTGCTTCTCTGGTTGTTGACACTGTTATGTGGGAAATATCAGCTCGGGAAGTGCTTAGAGCACGTGATCCACTCCATTCATAAAATACCTGGCTGGCCATTCACAATGCAATGCACTGTCTACATGGAGCAATTTCCAGATCAAACCTGATTTTTTTTTTTTTTGGAGGAAGATAATCTTGCTATGTACATCAGCATTACTTTTGCTGGCAATGCATAGAAAGTAGTATGCTTTGAAAAGAATTTTCAATTTTAAGGGAATTTCAGTAAAACAGTAATGCCACTGGGGGTTACTGCTCTTTATTTTAAAGTGCAGAATATTCCAGTATATGCTTCACTTTTAAAACATGGCACATCTAACAGTAGTTGTAAATGAGGGACAAATGGTTGCATGAAAGTGGCTTGAAGAGTTATTAATTAAGAATTAAAATGCTTGACTGCAATTCTGCAGTTCTTGGGTGATGCACTATATACAGCCTATTTTAATTTCATAAATTGTAAAATATTTGGCAATGAAAATTTTATTTCATAAATAATTGTGTTCTCTCAATTGTCAGTGAAGCATTTTCAGTAAAATTCCGGGATGGAAAAAAAACTGTTATAATTTAAAATATGTTGTTGAAAAGATTTTTTGTTAGTGGCACATTTATTCTTCTTTTGTTCTTACAACATACAGATGTACCGTAGAAGAAAATGCTCGAAGATCTTGTTTTGGTTGTTGTCAGATTGGATCCCTTCGTGTGTCATTAGTTTGTTGGTCATATCCTGAGTTGTTATTCTACTGATTCTTCAGAATATATTATAGTTAAAAGTGTTCTAGGTTGTTAGCTGTTATTCCATCCATTCTTAAAAAAACTGCTTTTTTTCCTGAAATGTTGCAATCAATGATTGTAGTTAATATTAATTCACATAAATTTTGTATTCAAAAGCTCATATTCTGTTGAATTGCACATATCTATATTGTCCACACTTTGTTATTAAAATGCATATCTATTAAATATTCTACTAGGCGCAGTTAGCAGAATTAGGTTCTAATATAACGAAAGTGTATGTGCACACATACATACTTCATCCAAAGAATTTGCCATGAATAGCCAGTAATATTTTCCAGTGAGCATTTTCAAAAAAACTTTTCTGGCTATTTATTTATAGTTATACGAGTTTTTTTAAAACAACAACAACAGAACTGCCAGAGCTTTTTACTCGGCCAGAGAAAGTATTTCATGGTTGAATAATGCTGTGCATTATGTGAATAGAATTGACAAATACTTTCTAATTCAAGCTTGCATTGTTTGTTTAAATATCCAGATCATAGCAGTGATTTTTTTTTAAAAAAAAATACTGCTTGCTTTAAAGGATCATACTAGTGGCAGTTTTCGTAGTATTCTGCCAATGGATTCATTAGAAGCTAATATTTTTGCATAAACTGCCGATCAACTATTTTTGCTCATGAAGTTAAAATGGGACTATTGGTTTTGAATAATTGATGTTGTGAAGGCCATTTTAGGAAATATTTTGAATTATAGATCCATCTTAGCACACCTTTACCTTGTTTCTTTTTAGTTTTTACTTCAAGCTGTCTCAAAGTACCATCCTAATTCATTCAGACTTTATTCTTAAAAGCCATTTCATTACCAAAATATAGTATTCTTAGGTTATGAATGAGAGGATAAAAAATGTAACTGTTTCCTTCCTATTCTTTCAGTAAAAATTCTGAAACTTACTGTTTTGTTTTCTTGTTCTCACATAAACCTGGTTGTGTACTGTTAAATCATATACACTTGACAATTAGGGAAAGGACAGATCCTGCTCTCATTTCGATCGAGTTTGTTCTCTGACTTTGCAATGTGTCAGAAAGTCTGACTTTATTATTAAAGGTCCAATGTACTTGTTAACGTTACTTGCAAAGATTTGGCTCAAAATCATGCAAGGGTCTGAGGGTAAATGAAAGAACTACGCTAAATATCTTAAAAATGAGGACAACTATTTGAATTGCTGTTGTAGGTTGGAACTAATGTAGCTTTCCCAGCTGCACCCCTGGGTTGATGGCCTACATATATGCTTCTTGATTTTACGATCCAGCTATTATTATGACATGACTTTCAAGAAGTGTTTATTTTACATTTACAGAAGTACTAAAATGTTGATATTGCAGACATTTTATTGATAATGAAATTTAATCTGTTCACTGGTTGTATGAAATTTTAGATTTAAAATGTAAAGATGTGCATATTTAATAAAGTTCTTCCAATAATAAATAGCAGCATATGTATAAATCACATTGAATATACCATTTTATGATATAGATAAATGAAAGGTTCTGTAATGGCCGTAAACACTCAGACATGTATCCATATTAACTATTAATTTGCATTATATGGAGAGAGAACTTAATTGTATATTTATTTATTTATTTATAAAATTGATTGGTCATCCATCTTACCATAGGGTAATTCTGGGTGGCTTGTAGTCATAAAAATATGTCTATACATATACATTTTAAAAAAATCAAACATGAAAATCTAAGGACATATATAAGCCAAATATATAAGGAAAACTCAACATTATGGTATCTATTATTAATGCAGCTATTGCACGATGTCTTCAGAAAAACTGTAGTCAATAAATTGCAAAAAGGATATTTGCAATGAAAAGAACATGAAAATTAGGAGGAAAGGTAAAATATAAGTAGCACTAAAATCAGTATAAGCAGAAGGAAAAAATAAATGGGGAAAAAAATGATGTGTTAACTTGAAGTAAGGAAACAGGTTATAAATTGCACGTTATAAATGGCATCTATGTATGTCATTTCATGTAGTAATTATTGTAAAGGTACATTTATATTAGGTGTGATAAATTTTAAAATTTCAACATCTTTGTAAATATTTAATTGGAATAGAGCCTGCTGAAGTTAGTACTGTGTTGTAAACATTTTGGCATCTGAAAAACACTAAATACAAACCATTTTTAAGAATATTTGGTATTTATAAAATTGGCATTCAAAGCAGAGTTCAGCTAAAGGATGAAAACAATGACATTCCTACATAAACCCCATTTATTTTAACTAATTTTTATTTGAAATGTACTTTCCTTGCATTGTAGTAGCTCTTGAAACCCCCTCAAGACTTTACATGGGATCATTTTTTCTGATATTGACAAGAGTCTTATGAATACATTCTACAACGGTATAAAATAGGAAACAGTAACTTAGCCACATTTAAATACTTCTTTTTTTAAATGGAAAACAGTAGTTACAGTGGTG